TTTAATATTATTTATATAATTAAATATTATAAACCAATCATTCTTACATATCACATCAACTTTAATTCACTATTCATCCACTCACATAATTTTAACTACCTATCATTTCCAATCATTTATCTCCTGCTTTTACATCAAATCAATAATAATTATTTTATTTTAAATATTATTTTAATATATTATTAAAATTTCACTAACAACTGCCCATTCATTTTTTTCAAATTTAACTCTAGTTAATCAAAATAACTAATTTTGAGTAAATTATTTCATAAACAAGCATGCCCTAAATAATATTAAAATATAGATGTTGTATTTGTAGAATAAAAATAAATTATATGGACCTCTTAAAAAAACTTGTGAATTATTAACTACTCTTTTATACATATGAAAAATCATAGCTTTTTTTTCTCATATATTTGACCTTTAATTAAAAAAATATTATATTTATCAAAAAACCACCATGAGGAGGTATACTAATCGCTTAATTCTTGTTATATGACATGTCATTTAAGGTTCATATATCATTTCATTGAATATGCCACAAAATAAATGAGACTTGGTATTATAGTTTTTTATATACTGAAATACCCTTTATTTGAAAAATTAGAAAAATATATAACTAAATTATAAAATCAATAAATTCAACAACATACTGCATATTCTAATAGAAGTCAAATACAAATAATTATTGCCTCGAATAAAATTATTCGAATAAATTTTATTTAACTTAATAATATAATATAAACTAGGAAAATAGGTCAAAAACACCCCCAATGTTAGCTATAAGGTACATATGTGTCCTTGAAGTTTCTTCAGGTACAAATATACCATTAAAGTTCAACCAATAATAACGTTTACATTCTTCCTAATAGGGAAAAGAGCTCTATTAACTCTCATTAACTTATGATAAAAAAACACATTTAATATGACGTAAACACTTGCTACTAATTCGTTGGACAATTTTATATATGCAAAAAAAAAAAGTAGATTATGAAAAATCACAAAAACGCAAAAAGCCAAAATACTTTTGGAATTGTTTTGTCAAATGAGATTGTTTGTGAAAAGGTAAAATAATTGCCAACACAAAACTTATGTTACTTTAAGATTATACGGAGGCTAATAAAATGGGATTGTTTGATTTCAATATACTTTTATTACCTAAAAATACTCAATGCATGCAAATTTAACTGCTAGAGGTGAAACTTGTGCTTTCAAAATATGTTAAAATGCATGCAAATTTAATTTTCTATTGTGCTTTTATATACATATGTGAATACTACTTTGTAAATTATACATGATAGATATATTTCTCGCTTTATTTCAATTTTAGGAGAAAATCAATATATTGCAGACCATATATAAAATGGAACTCTTAACAAAACCTAAAATTTGATATATTCAAATCTCCATTGGCATGTTATGGGGACACAAAATATGAAAAAAAGAATTTCACTTAGATTTTAGATTGTTAGAACAATAGAATACTCAACAAATAATTTAAAAGAACATTAAAAATATAAACTGAAAATATTATTATTTATTTAGGAGAAATTTGCTTACAATGTTGATGAAGTCCCGAGAGGTGTTGTCATGCAAGTATTTTTTATCGCCATGAAAAAATGAATTGAGTGGCGTAATTGAAGAAAATGTTTTGGTAGCAATGATATATACATTAATAGTAGCAAACTTTAATGATATATTTGCATCTAAAAAAACTTAATGGACATATATGTACCTTACAACAAACATTGGGGATATATACATTAATAGTAACAAACTTTAATGATATATTTGCACCTAAAGAAACTTCATGGACACATACGTACCTTACAACAAACATAAGGGGTGTTTTTGACCCATTTCCCTATAAACTAAAAAGAAGACGAAAAATGACATAATGAGCTAAAAGAAAAGGCGGAAAGAGACTTAAATTATTTTTAAATATATAATTTATTGATTTAATTAAAATAAATTTAACTAATTTTGGGTCAAAATATGATTAATCCTTGGCTGTCTAAGATAACATGGGGTAAAATATTTTTATTACTATACATTTAGATGTATCGAAAAATTAAGACCTGGCTGAAGCCCACCCAGCCTTTGGGGTGGCTCCGTCCCTGTACGTTAACAACATAACACATAGAATTAAAATAAAACATAACCACATGTATGTCAACATATTTGAAAATAAAATTAAAAATTCAACCATTTGCTTTTAAAAATCTACATTGTCAACGTCTTGCGGGGTAGGATACTCCAACATTTTGGTCTTTCCATGAATAATGAATTTGAACTTTGTGATGATAGATCGTTATTTCACAATTAATGTTACTTTCTAAGTGATAATGGGTGGCCTACTTATTAGTATATAAAAACTCTCTTGGTTATGGTTCCCAATACACTAAATCAAACATATTTTTCTTTTCTCCCCATCTGAATTGAGAATAACGACCCAAGATGAATATGAAAGCGTAGGAACTCGACGGGATTCCCTTCTTTCTTTGTCTGATTCGAGGGAAAGGGGCCCGTTGGGTTCATAAGAAAATAAGACGATTTAGTTGAGGAAGATCATAAAACCGACCCTGTTCGTGATCGAAATCTAGATCATGTTCATGTCAACAATAATGGAGGTAAGATCCGGAGAATGATGATAAGATATTCGCGTCTAGAAACTCAATCTCAATAGATCTAGGCATTCTTTATAATCCATATGATCTATAATCTAGCATGTTGATTTTCCTAGAATAAGCATGTTTTGGGTTAATTGTTATTGAACTTATATTATGTAAATTCCTACATATTTTTGACATTTGAGGCTCTTTTTGGCCTAAGGCAATTATTAGGTTGTTGATTATTGTATAAACTATGAAGCTTTTTGTAGTCTCGGCACATTATTACGGTGTTGATTATTGTATGAAATTTTGGGTTTTGGAATCCTTTTTGGTGAACTCACTAAGATTGCCATATTTTTTATTTATGGTGACAAAATTTTGTATCCCAAAATGTTTTTTTGGGTACAAGTTTTTTCATGTTTTTTTCTTGGTGAATAATTTATTTTTTCAGTTCAATCTTGTTTCTCATTTTTTTTTGTGATAGAAAATATGACGATAGGAAACACGAACGTTGTATATAAGTGTTTAATAATATTTAAATTTCATTTCTTAAAATTTATTTTCCAATGATTATGTATGATTTTTACTATTGTTTATATTTTTTATTAATTTTTTTGTATCATATAGATTTCCGGGAAAATGCACGAGTTAGAAATAATTGAAAATAAATAAAATATAAGTTAAAATAGAGTAAATGTATATGGGTGTGTAACAATTACTAGCAATATGTTTTTTTCCTTGATATATATATTAAGGGTGTGTTTGTTTATAAATTATCTCAATTCATATTCAAAATCTAACTCAATTTAATCCGACATCACTATCCTTTATATTATCAATATAATCGCCCGTATATATAATTTTCGAATGCGCTGATTCTAAGTGGCAAACTCGTATTCTTCGTAAGCTTATTTAACATAAATTGGTGTTTCGTATTGATACATGCTTATGTTTGGTTTTGACTAATAGGCTAGAGAATTACCATAAATTATTTTAGCTTTTCTTTTTTCTTAAGTTGCCACATACTTCACTTATCTTTTTTATTTAATTCATATATTAACTATTATAATGTTTTATTTGTATATTAGTTTTTATATATGATCTACCAAAATAATCATTTTTTGACGATATTTGATTTGACATCCATATTTCATACATAAAATAAAAATAATTTCTTCTATATTTATAAATAAAATCAATATTATCATCAACAATTAAAAAACATCTTATAGCAATATAAATTATTTTATAAAATAATAAAAATCTGATTCATTAATACACCATAAAATAATTAATTTTTCCCATAAATTTTGGATAAAATTACATAAAATAATCTTAAGAAATATTATAAGATATTATTTCTAAATTTAAATAGATTATATAAAAATTTAAATATTATTATGTTATTTAAAATAGTAAATCTAAAAGAATATAAAAATTAAATACAATAAAATAATTTTGTATTTCATATGGTTAGAAAATAATAGATTGCTAAGTAGATTCTAAATTATTAATTATATGAATTTAAAATACTTGAAAATAATAATAATCGTGAGGCATTGACTCTATAAATATAAATATAATCACAATACAATAAAATTTGTTTTGTTATGAAAAAAAGAATCAAATGTATGAAGTTGTAAATATTATCAGTTTATACATATATAATTTTAAAATTATAACTAAAATATCTTTTTTTGGAAAATTTAGTATAAAAATACAGGCACCATTGAAATTAATTATCACTTTATTAGTTATTTATTATGATTGCATATACATCACATATTTCCACAATAAAAATATAAATTAATTTTATATTTATTGTATAAATATCAATATATTTAAGTACTCGTTTAGTAAACATGTATTATTCATTTAATTATAACTAATCATCACTAAACACGATCTCTCTTATACTTTTACCTCAAATGATTCAAATCAAATTTAATTGTTTTATTTTAAATATTAACTTTAACTATAAAACTAAAATCTAACTAAACTAAAAATTAACTCTTTGTAAGGAAAAAAAATGATATACCTACATGTAGGCAATATAGGTAGTAAACAATACTATATATATATATATATTTTTTTTGTTATGGTTTATGCAATGTATTTATTGTTAGATAAGATAGATTGTCATAAAAATGTACGAGTTCGATAGACTTTATATAAAGATCTGAGAAAGTTCGATTGATTTGAGAAGAGATTGTATACCGTCGATCTCTCCTTCGATTTACACACACCATACCTACACTCTCACACACACATACATTACAAACTACACCTACTCTCTCTCTCTCTCTCTCTCTCTCTCTCTCTCTCTCTCTCTCTCTCTGTCACGCAATACACACAGTAAAAAGCCCAATTCTACACACAATCCCATAAAAACCACCCAACAAAATGATTCTCCGCCCTTTATTAGCTTACTCCGCCTCCCACTGAGACTGAAACCCTCACTCATCACCTCTCTCTCTCTCTCACACACACGCTCACACACCACAATGCGTATGTGTGTACTCCTCCTCCCACCCCCAATGCTCCTCCTTCTGCTCTTCTCTCTCCTCCCCGCCGCCATACCGGCAGATCTGTCCTCCGACAGGGCCGCCCTCCTCGCCCTCCGCTCCGCCCTCGGCGGTCGCTCCTTCCTCTGGAACGACACCTCCCCCACCCCCTGCGCTTGGCAGGGCGTCCGCTGCGACGGCGACCGCGTCGTCGTCCTCCGACTCCCGGCCTCCTCCCTCTCCGGCGCCCTTCCGGCCAACACCATCTCCAACCTCACCTCCCTCCGAACCCTCAGCCTCCGCCTCAACCACCTCTCGGGCCCGCTTCCCGACGATCTCTCTCGCCTCTCTCAGCTCCGGAATCTCTACCTCCAGGGCAACCAGTTCACCGGCCCCCTGCCGGATTCCATTCTCTCCCTCCACGCCCTCGTCAGGCTGAATCTCGCGTCCAACAACTTTTCCGGCGAAATCCCCCGCGGGCTCGGCA